CAATTGCTCATATGTGTTCGGTTCTAAACTCGTCACACTCTGTACATTTATTATTAAATAAAGAATCAATTAGTAAAGTAGTATTAATACCTTCGAATCTCCACAAGCAAAAATGAACCTTAATAACAAGAATAATATGTATACAACTGACAAAAACTGGATACACAAAGAAATATAATGCTTTTCAATTGTTAGAATAATTGTTTTTATAGTACCTCGGTTATGCATATCTGAAAAATGTTTCTGTTATATAGATTATGTTATTGTATATTATTATTAGTCTTAAAAAAACGAAACATAAAATGTAGTGGTATCAATGACCATTGCATATTACACTTATTAACATACTAATTTCTAACGAGAACTTATTAACTTCTAATGTCTTGCACCAATTCGTCCAATATCTAAAAATGTAATAATTTGGTCGATTTCCGATGAACCATCACATACAAGCAAAAAAGTAAAACATGAATAAAAAAAAACAATCAAGTTATTTAGTTGTCTTAATATTAATCCTGAAAGATGTTTTCAGAAAACTCAAGTTGGACACTACTATGAATATGAATTTAAAATACTTAAGAAAATAAAAAATCTTTCTTTAAAATCATTTTAGTTTTAGTTAATCAGAAAAATAAATGTCCTCATTAGTAGTCTGCAATTATCCGTAAAAAATTAAGAGTAGAAAGTGAATTTTTTTTTTAATATGGAACATATCGACAATTGTATTTTTATAGAGGTTTTTAAATAACAAATTAAAAAGAACATTAATTAGTTCTTCTAGAAAAATCTTGAAAATAAAGAATATTTTAACAAGTCTAAAGTATGGCAATACATGCAGTCCGCTTCAAATGATTAAGTAACTCTTTGAATGGATAAAAAACTTGAAAGAAAAAGTACTTCTTCAGTTTGAACCATTTAACTTGAATTATCCTTTTAATTTATCTTTGTCAACAGTTTGCTCCTAAAATTTTTAAATAAAAACTATTTAAATTATTTGCTATACAATCACTATAAATATAATGTCAAAAGCAGGTTTTCTTTAAATTTTTTAAAATTTATCTGTTTGTGATTTTCAATTAACATTTAAAATTACTTTTTAATTAAACTTACTTGGATTGCATTTAATTTATTTAGGGTTTTCTTTAACAAATGTCATCTGATAGACCGTGTCATTTGAAAAGTAAAAACTCATTTATTACGTTGAAAGGATTGATAAACATGAACAGTATTTACTTTTTTGTATTATTCAATAATATTATTAATATTTTTTGAACATTAATTATCATAATTTAGATATTCGTCAATTGTTTTGTCACTTAGGCACTCAATCGCCTGTAAGCGATAGGAAAACGATATCTATTCATGTTTATTGAACATGCAAAAGTACTTTCATTTCATATTTCTATACTACCTATGTATTATCATATTCATAGCAATGTTAATGTTTAAATGTATTTTTATTCAAACATTATATCACTTAATCCAGTCAGCTTTCATCACAAGCAAGTAAAGTAGCAAGCCTCTCGGTTTTTGGGACACACATTCATGCATGTATTCCCTATTTATCATCACTAGTCGGACTGCGGGTCTCTATAATTTTATTGCAGACCTTCCTCTCATCCCGACGAAGTCATATGCGTTCTCGTTTCTCATGAACAAAGCAGAGGATTGAAATACAGCTAATAATTTCCTGCGTCTATGTGCTCTTCCAATAATAATTTGGGCGTGATTAAGTCTTAAGCAAATAAACTGGTAGTAAGTTAGTGTGATTCTTTCCAATTTTTACCATTTTTACTTAGGTAGAAGCGGAATTTCACCAATGTCGGTATTAGAAAACCAATTCATATCATTAGATAAATAAATCTATAAATTTCGTAACGAAATTAAAATATGCAGTGTCTTTCCGTAGTAATTGTGATCTGATTTTAAGAAGTAAAACAAGGCCCATTAACGAAGGCCAATGAAGATATATATACATATATATAGACTTGTAAATTATAAAAAATGGATGGTTTTGATTTTATTTTAAATAAAATACACATTTCATATAGTTTGAAAGTGAAATCTATACTAATATTATAAAGCTGAAGAGTTTGTTTGTTTGTTTGAAAGCGCTAATCTCCGAAACTACTGGTTCGAATTGAATAATTCTTTTAGTGTTGGATAGTCCAGTTATTGAGGAAAGCTTTAGGCTATATAACATCACGCTACGACCAATAGGAGCAAAGATATAGTGGTAAATGTGTAAAAAATGGGAGAAATTATTTCATCTTTGAAGCCTTCCGTTGCGTGCGCCGAGAAAACGGTCCAAGATACACAAAAAATATGTATTAAAGAATAATAGCTCTTTTAATGTTCTAAAAAACAGTCTGCAACAGTATATGTCTATCTTTTAAGATTAACTCACAAAACCCGTTGGTCGAAATAATTTTATAAAATCATTATTCAAATAAACAAATAAATATATTGTTGGTTAAGAGTATTTCATTGTGAACTAAAAAAAAACATAGGTATATACAGGGTGTATGAAAAACTGTGTCAACCCTCTTAACTACGTTATCAGTATCGATAATGTAACACAATAAAATAACTTACATTTACAAACTCTTCAAAAAAAATAATAAAATTAAATATTAAATGATTATTATATGTAGAGTAACAAAATGTTTGTAAACCCTGGTATAACACGATGACACGCAATGACGTCATCACAGCTGCTGCGCTACTAGTGACAACCTTGAAGTTACTTTCACATTATTGAAAATATCGATATTTAAAAAATCATAACAATAAATAAATATTTAATATTCATATTGTCTCGATACTTATTTTGATATATCACACATTAGTATTATTTTTTATTGTAAAACACCATTTCTAACAGAAATAGATTAACGATTTATCCTAATAATACAACATATTTAATTTACCTGAAGAAGTTCCAAATTATAATATTGATTAATAATATTTATTATTTATAAAAGTTACTTTAAATGACGAAAGAAAAGCATAACTACTTATAGCAATATTGAAAATGTCGATAGAATATTTATCGATATACTTACCTAATAAACACTAACAAAAGACGAGTGTGCCACGCCGGCGGCCAGCGCCTGCGATCAAAGGCCGCGCATGCGTCTTCGCGACGATACGGTGTCTTGACCTTGTATTGCGTCATCACAACTTCTACGCTACTAGTGACGAACTCAAACGTACATTCACATTATTTTGATTGTTTAATCACTTTAACGATTCACTGATACCACTTTTTTTCAAATATTTCACGTTTCACTATTTTAAAAATCAATTTAAAATAACACTTAGTTAATAATAACATCTACTTGACGGCCATGAATGTGTTGTTCAATATGCCCGCCTTGTACTTCTATGCATTTACGGCATCGGGAAATAAAGTTAGCACGTACATTTTGTAGGACAGATGTATTTGATTTTATTTCTTCGAATGCTGTGATGATTCGTGAACGCATTTCAGCCTCAGTAAACAGTTCGTCATAAAGTCTACGCGATTCCGCATAATTACAATCACATTTCCCTAGACACATTAACATATTGAAATATTCCTGGTTGGAGTACATTTTATAAAACAACTCTATTTGATAAAACCGTAACCAAAAAGTAATCCGCTCGGTAGAAATTTCCACGAGGAACTAACTAATAAATTATTTTTATTAAAAGGGCGGCATAGGCTCGAATAAAAAATATCGATAAATGAAATATCGATTTTTAAAAAATCATAACAATAAATAAATATTTAATATTCACATTGTTTCGATACTTATTTTGATATATCAAACATTAATATTATTTTTGATTGTAAAACACCATTATTAACAGAAGTAGATTAACGATTTATCTTATAATACAACATAGTTAATTTATCTGAAGAAGTTCCAAATTATAATATTGATTAATAATAATATTTATTATTTATAAAAGTAATTTTAAATGAAATTAATTTAATGTGAAAAGTACAACTACTTATAGCAATATTGAAAATGTCGATATAATATTTATCGATAAACCTAATTTTTAAACTTGCAAATTTCTATTCGAAACACTAACAAAAGACGAATGTGCCACGCCGGCGGCCGACGCCTGCGATCAAAGGCCGCGCATGCGTCTTCGCGACGATACGGTGTCTTGACCCTGTATTGCGTCAGATGTTTGAAACATTTTTTCAAATAATGTCGATTTTAAACTTATTTAGCCTATGCACTGTAACTGACCTCTGCTTGATTTTTTTTAAGTTATACTATTTTTTATAATAAGCTTATACTTATATGTATACATGCCTTCAAGGGTTGACACAGTTTTTCATACACCCTGTATTTATATGTATTTATTTATTTATATATATACAGGGTGACTGGTGAATTACTATCAATATTTAAGGAGCATACTCGGTACATGATTCTCATTCGAATTATGTAAAAAAAATAGGTACTTAATTTTTGACCAAATTTCCGTATAAATAAATAAAGTGTGTACACGTTCCAAGTGTTCCTAGTGTGGACGCGCGCGGCGGCGTGCTGATACAACAACACGCCGCCGCGCGCGTATGTGTGAGTGTGTAGTGTAGAGTAATCTGTAGGGTGTTCATACGATGCGTAATTAATTACACAACTTTTGGTTAACTTTACTTAGAAGTTTATTAATATTTATGTTATATTAATTTTTATTTCGTCATATATGATCGTCAAATATCACGTCCTCAAGTATTTATTTATATATGTATATATATATATATATATATATATATATATAAATAAATACATTTTTTATCCAGAGTTTCTGTATTCTTAATAAATTATTGTACAAGTTTTTCTCGTACGTGTTATAATTTATATGAGAATCGTGTTATTTTTTTGTACCTACATATATTAAAGATTCATAACCGGAACTGGATTCAAATATTGTATTGTGTAATGCTGAGTAGACGCTGTGAGGGTTAGGCCCTGTTTGATTTAGATAGAAGCGAGTTGGTCGACCAGTTGGACGATCAGTTGGTCGATCAGTTGGTCGATCAGTTGGACGATCAGTTGGACGATCAGTTGGTCGACCAGTTGGACGATCAGTTGGTCGACCAGTTGGACGATCAGTTGGTCGATCAGTTGGTCGATCAGTTGGTCGATCAGTTGGTCGATCAGTTGGTCGACCAGTTGGACGATCAGTTGGTCGATCAGTTGGTCGATCAGTTGGTCGACCAGTTGGACGATCAGTTGGTCGATCAGTTGGACGATCAGTTGGTCGACCAGTTGGACGATCAGTTGGTCGATCAGTTGGTCTATTTTCATTTAATTTTCTATGGTCATATTTATATATATATTACATGTATTTCTCATGAGTAGTAAATATTTTAATATAACTATATATTAGTATTAATTTCTATGATTATTCGTTAAGTCTTTGTTGCAATATAATTTTGAGAGTAGATGACAAATGACAAGTTCGACAGACCTACAATCATCTTGTCTTTTTATAACACCATTAAATACTTATTTAGATATGTATTACTTGAATAATAAAGAACTTCAATAATTAGAAAAAAAAAATTTAAACTCCTAAAAAGATAAATTATTTTATTTTTTAATATATTATGCTTATTTATAGTTACTGTCAAACATTCAAAATAGATGTCAAATATTTCAAAGCTAACAGATAATAAAAGAACAAATCCCTACTAATATTATAAATTCGAAAGTAACTCTGTCTGTCTGTCTGTCTGTTACGCTTTCACGCCTAAACCAGTGAACTGATTTTAATGAAATTTGGTACTGAGATAGAATTGACCTTGAGAAAGAACATAGGATAGTTTTTATCACAGACTTTTGAAAGGTTTTCTTGGAAACGCGATATAACCGAATTCCACCCGCGCGAAGCTGCGGGCGGAAAGCTAGTATTAATATAATTCTTAAAAACAATAATGGTGATAGTTATAACAAAAACTGATGGTAGGTATGATTATGTATGATGTTTTTAATATAAATAACTCTTCATGTCCACTTTAGGTTACTTTAATTTAAATATTAAGATGATTATATATTAAATATTAGTCACTGCGAGAAATATTTATATAAAATTTGTAATAATACTAGAATGTATCAATGTAATCAATTAAAAATCTTTAAGCTTATACACGCATGTTGATATAAAGACATATATACAGAAAAATAATTGATTTTCCATCTAGTTGTGATCTATGTTTTTACTCATTTAATCAACATTTTGATCGTTACTATGTAACATAGATGTTGATATTAAACTTAACCACTATACTGCTTTGTATTAATGATGATAATTATAATAAGCTTTGAAATAGTTTCTGAATCTCGGAGTTGAGCTTTATATAATATCAAACTATAAGACACTGGTAAATCATAAATTTAACAAAATGTTTATTACTCTCAAAGGACGAATTTCCTTAAAGAACAACACTTTGTAAAGAAATAAGAAGACAATTTAAATAAATATGAAGACTTCATTAACCCATTTCAATTATAAGTTAAGAAAATTCCAATCTCATTACAGATTCAATACTAACAATCTTAAATATATAATATGTAACTTTGCGTATTTATTTTAAATTATATCATTTATATACTTCTTAGGACACTTTTACATTCCTTTTATAAATTTTCTTACAACATTTTATTATTTTATTCCTTAAGTCGTCTCATTTGAACATCACAAAGCAATAACTCCTAAAATAACGTCAGCTTTGTTAAAACGTTATGTCGTGAATTTAGTTAAAGTTGTTTGATTTTTAATACAATATTTATTTTAATGCTCCAGTTATTATAGGAACAAAAAATATATATGTATATAGAGATAAAAGAAGGGAGAAAAGAAGAATTTCCTTTGATAAAGTGTCGTAGACCTTTTTATATTCACTAGACATACTGACTGAGGGAAAGTGAGATCTCAAAGATGCGATGAAGTAATATACATATTAGTGCTGTACGTAAATATACAGTATAAGACTAGTTTTTGGACGCGACGTCAAATCCTTACTCAATATCATAAAGTGCGATTTGTTAAAAAACTATAATTTTATTTTACAAAAGAGATTTATGTAAAATAAACCTGTTCTATTATTTTATAATTTTAATAAATAACAACCAATTTTAACAAATGATAATTGTATGTCCCATGTTTATGTTTTGAAAGTACCAAGAACAAACTATATTCAGATTATTAAACAATTCCTTAACGTCCTGCTCAGAAAGTCTTCCCTTAAGAGAAATAATCGAACAGTTATATTTGTAATTTGCTCCCATTGCATGTTACTTTTATGTTACAATGCTTATTTATTGTGTTGTGAATTCCTTAATATTTACATATATAGAGATATAATGTAAGTAAATATTACTACACTGTAAACTTTATAACAACAAAAGGAAATCGAACAAAATAACGTTTTAAAATTAGTATAAATATGTTAAAATAAAAATATAGACATGATCTAAATTATGTTCTATGAATATTCTTATAAATAAAAAAAAATCACAAATTCTTGTTGAACATTTTCTTGTAACTTTAAAATTAATCCAATTACGTGTTGTAATTAAAGTCTCCAAAGATATTACACGAAAAGGTCCCTAGATTGTTATAACATATTAACATAAACCCATTATATACAGGAGACACTCTATGGTTAAACACACAATATAACCTTACCTCATTCAGACACAAGTTCCACACACAATATCTTGTCGTGTTGAATAAAAACAAGTATATGATAATGTGAAAATACTACTTATGAACATAATCTTCTTCTTCTACCTGGCAATTTCCCTGCTATAGCCAAGGTCTGCCTAACATGTTGTGAATAGTTTTGGCTAATTATTTTTTTACGACCGGCCGCCTGTCTGACATCAACCCTCTTTTGGGAATCAGCATTAATCAATGATGTTTAAATATTCTTAGAAAGTACATATGACTCGGAAAAATCACATTGGTACTTGCCCGGGCCAGGATCGAACCCGCGCTCTCGGCAACGAGAGGCGGACCCTCTAACCATTAGGCCACCACTGACTTACTTACTTATGAACATAATATTACCTGAAAATTGTATCTTTATGATAAAAACAATTAAAGATATTTATTACTTTACAATTAAGTTAAGCAAGAAGGTAACTGAATTTAAATAATATATTTTATTAGTTTAGCATATTATGTTCTTCTAAATTTGAATGCAAACATAATTTCAACGTTAAACAGTTGTATCCTTAACACAAGTTTGAATTGACAAAATAAATACAGATAGTATAAAGGTTTAGTTCATCTTTTGAAGTATATTCTAATGTGTGAAGATTAATCATTCATCATCAGACAGTCCTGATCTAAAATTAGAAGTGAAAGTGAATAACTAATTAACTTGAGAGAGCTGAACCAACAAACACAGATAAATTAGTAATGTAAGTTTGAGTTCCGGTAATTATATTGTGAATTAACGCTGGATTGTAATGTATTGTTCGGTAATCAAATATTCGATATTGGAATATCGAATAAATGGTGTTATCCAATATTGTGATGAAAAAGAATCATAGCTTGTGGTTTTCCTAAGACAAATGTAAAAATAGTTAAAATTTACTTGAGTAATATTAAAGAAAGAGTTAATTAAAAGATTAATGTTCTAATAAACAAAACATTAATATATGTAGTAGATGAGTATAAATTATTTCATAGCTCACTAAAGGTACGCGGAGTGCAGTTAATTTTATTATTTTATATATCCATCAATCAGTTTATCATTATGAAAGAAGTTGTTTACGTCAAAACTAGTAGTCCCCGGAATACAAATTGAATAATTGTTCTAGCTGGATAGAGTTATAGTTATTGTAAAAACAGACGGTGATACTTTGATTTTCATTTCTTTTCTGCAAATGACGATGTTTACACACAAAATGTGTAACAATAATAAGCGTATATTATTTTTTTATTATATATATTTATGTAATAAATATTGAGTTTATATAACAACTTAATTTGCTTATTATAGGAATAATCTTGATGATTACACTGAAGACTTACAAATTATATTTTAGAGCTATATGCAATAAATTTAGTTTAACCCAAAAGTTAAAGTACGAGTATAATATTTGAAATTCTGTTTTCACAAACCAGTCTCAACAAAGCTACATATGTAAATAATAAGATCTAGGACTTTCGCGAGCATTTATTTGAACAAAACTACCATTTCGTGTTTTCTTCTCATTTTTTATTATTTTAACTACAACCGTGCTCACGAAACCGTGGTCACGGAAACGTAGTAAATCCGAAAATTGTAAAAAAAGTGAATGTGTATACAAAATTCCATACTTTAATATTATTACCATAAAATATTTATAGATGAAGTCTAATTGATGTATAATAAATTAACTAGAATTTGTCCTTTACTGTATCCTCAATGTAAATTCATGGAAACAAGATATTAAAATCAAGTCACGGTTCTAAATCAAAGTTCATAAACACGATCCTTCAATTAGCAGAAAGGTATTCAGTGGAGTTATTTAGTTTATAGTTGTGTGCTTTGAATGCCTCTGAAAACTGAACAGAACTATCAGCATTCCACAATATCTATTCGTGAATAGGTAGTATTCGCTTTTAGTTTTATAAGCAACGCTTCAATTAATTTGTAAGAACGCGGTTATTTATTGTATCTATATTATTTAAATGTTATCCATGAGGTTTTTTATGAAAACAAAATATTTGATTTAAACCTGATGAGTTAATTGAGCGATATAAATCAATATAAGAAACAATTAACTCAAGTCCTGCTTAAGACCGAAAACGTTGACATATTTAAATCTAACAGATTATTATTTAGTTCTGAACTCTTTTTTTACAATAAAATCAATGAGTGAGAAATTTTGTTAAGTTCATTTTGATACGTAGTTCTTTTTAGTTTATTTAAATATAAGTAACAGAGGAAACAATGCAATACAATGATATTTCTTCTTATAGTTGATTGATACAACAAGACGAACAACAACATCCTTGGCAGTCCTTTAAATTTATTGTTCTGTAATATTATACAGGGTGACTGGTGAATTACTATCGATACTTGAGGACGTGATATTTGACGATCATATATGACAAAATAAAAATTAATATAACATCAATATTAATAAACTTCTAAGTAAAGTTAACCAAAAGTTGTGTAATTAATTACGCATCGTGTGAACACCCTACAGATTAGGTATACACACACACTCACACATACGCACGCGGCGGCGTAGTGTTGTATCAGCACGCCGCCGCACGCGTCCACACTTGGAACACTTGGAACGTGTCAACACTTTATTTATTTATACGGAAATTTTGTCAAAAATTAAGTGCCTATTTT